TAAGCAACCAACATCTTCTCATCACCCAGATGTCAGTCGGCTCTGCCAGCCTACCCCACCCACAAAATCACCATCCTGAACATGGGATAGCCCCTGACCCCAGCACTTGATTATCTGTATTCTTCAAAGGACAGATGGCTCTGGGACTCTTCTCATCAAAATTTACTAGAGCTTCAAAAAGAGAGAAATTACCTGTTCCTCCTTTTAGTTCTTTCCCCTCCACAGACCCCACACTGTTTTCTTTTGCCCTAATACTCTTGTTTCTTTTGTCCTACTTGTCCCCATTAAAGTCCCATGCCTGTGAAAGAAGTTTAGGCTAGGAGTCCTATGTTGCACATTTTCTTCTCCTTTTATAGTGGTACAATGAAATATTAGTCATCTCTCCGTATCCAAGAGAGATTTGTTTCAGGACCCCCTCTCCCATATCAAAATGCACAGCTGTTCCAGTTCCTAATATAAAATGGCATGTTTACATACAACATCCTCTCTATATTTTTTAATAATCTCTAGATTACTGACAATATAAATGCTATGTAAATAGTTGTCATATTTTGTTGGGTTTTATTTGTATCTGTATTGTTGTATTATTATTATTATTTTCTTTCTGAATACTTTTTTTTTTTTTTTTTTTTGAGACGGAGTTTCGCTCTTGTTACCCAGGCTGGAGTGCAATGGCGCGATCTCAGCTCACCGCATCCTCCGCCTCCTGGGTTCAAGCAATTCTTCTGCCTCAGCCTCCCGAGTAGCTGGGATTACAGGCACGCGCCACCATGCCCAGCTGATTTTTTTGTATTTTTAGTAGAGACGGGGTTTCACCATGTTGACCAGGATGGTCTCGATCTCTCGACCTCGTGATCCACCCACCTCGGCCTCCCAAAGTGCTGGGATTACAGGCTTGAGCCACCACGCCTGGCCTCTTTCTGAATACTTTTGATGGGAAGTTGGTTGATCTGTGGATGCAGAACAGCCGATACAAAGGTTTGATTGTAGTTAATTCGGCTCTTTCCTTTTGTTTTACAGTACTGCTCCTTGCAGAGCAGGGCTATCTCATAGGCAGTGATCCCAGAGTTGGCTACTTCAGCATTTTCATGAAGGTAAATCTTATATATCCCCAATGCAACAATAGCTAGGCTGTTGAAGCTAAAAAGAAAAGAGAAATCCCATGAAACTAGGCCCAGCTTTTGGCAATTGAAGTTCGGATAACCTGGTCTTTCCCTTTCTGCAACAGAGATTGCAAAATGGCTATAAGACTTGGTGCAGCAACCCCTCTCTGGACAAATTCCAAAGCCGGAATTCCAGTGCCATACAGATAACTCCCAGAAAAAAAATAAAAGTCTGCCTCTGATGACTTACCATACAATTTAATATTCCAAATTTCTTTCATGTAAGTAACACTCCAGACACTTGTTTTCTGAAAATATTCTCTGAAATCCTGATAATGTTCCCAGGCCACATTTTCGATTTTGTTTTCTCCCCTAAAACACCACTCCTGAGTATGTACCAAAGCAGAGACTCAACAAATGCTTCAGTAACACCGTTCAACAAATGTCATCAATAAATGGGGTGATGGGGACAATGGAGGCAGGGCCAGAGCAATTAGAGAAGAATCAGGATCTAAACAGATCTTAGTGGCAGGGGACAAGGAAACTAAGCTGATCTGAGTGGTTCCATAGTCACCTCCTGCTCAAAGCCCCGGGACGGCTTACCCTTGCTCTCAGCGAGGTCAGCGAGGTCAGCGAGATCAGTGAGGCCCGCGAGGCCCCGGGCGGACCTGCCTCGCTCCCATCCCGGCCACGCCCCAGTCTGCCCAACCTTCGGCCTCTCCGAGATGCTCCTCTGTTCCCAGGGCCGCGCTTCCCTTCCTCCTCCCTGGCTCACTGCTGCCGGCCACTCAGATCTCACCCGAGGTGACTTCCTTAGGGGTCCCCTGACCTCCCTGTCCAGGTCTAGTCTCCAACAGTTCAGCCTCCCAGCACAGCACTGACGTCCTTTCGCGGATTCCTCCATCCACGTGTCTCCTAACCAGACCGGAAGCTTCCGGAGGGCAAGCCTGTGTACAGAGGTTGGAAGACGCCCCAGACCAGCCTGCAGGCGGCTTCGGTCCCCAGAGACCTACAGCGCAAGCCTCGAAGCCCACTTGAGAATGAGTTGGGCATAGGTGACCCTGCGGGGCCCTGTGAGGACCGTCCATACCCACTTGGAGACCGGCTTCCCCTCTCCGCTTGTATCCGCCCCCCCCAAAGGGTAAAGTCCCAGGGGACCCGGAAGGGCGTGGTGGCTGACGCCTGTAATCCCAGCGCTTTGGGGGACCAAGGCGGGCGAATCACCTGAACTCAGGAGTTGAAATCCAGCCTGGCCAACATGGCGAAAACTCGTCTCTACTCAAAATAGAAACGTTAGCCGGGCATGGCGGCGCCTGCCTGTAATCCCAGCTACCCCGGAGGCCGAGATAGGAAAATCGCTGGAAGCCGGGTCCTGGAGGTCGCAGTGAGCCCAGATCGCGCCACTGCACTGCAGCCTGGGCGACAAAGCGAGATGCCGTCTCAAAAAATAAATTAATTAAATAACAACAAAAACGTTTCGGCCGGGCGCCGTGGCTTCTGCCTGTAATCACAGCACTTTGGGAAGCCGAAGCGGGTGGATCACCTGAGGTCAGGAGTTCGAGACCAGCCGGACCAATATAGTGAAACTCCATCTCTCTTAAAAAAAATTTTTTTTTCCGTCGGACCCCCCAAAGAAATCACGTACATATTTACATGTACATGCAGAAATATTGGGAGGTGTTGTGATTGGTGGGATCTCGATTTCCTCAAGTGGATCGTGAGAATGATATTTTGAGAATGCAGTTACTAAAAGGAAGAGCCCAGCTTCTAGCCCCGTGGGCTAGAAGATCTTAATCAGCATTGACTATTGTCATTATCGCTTGTTATTTAAAGGCTTTCTTGGACTTTGTTTTACCTCCTCTTAAAAACTCTTCAATCCCATTGTCTGACCCTCCTTTGGGCGAATCCTCTCATCTCCATTAAAATGAAAGAATGTGGTTTCCCGTAACCGTCATGCTTCACCTTGGAGGAAAGCTGATCACCAGCTGCAAACTCAAAAAAATAAAAAAGAAAAAGAAAAAGAAAACAAAGAAAACCGCTTCAAGGCAAACAAAGCTTTTCACCTTCAGACTATTACTTCCAGTCTGACCAACATGGTGAAACCCTGTCTCTACTAAAAATACAAAATTAGCCTTGCTTAGTGGCCTATAATCCTAGCTACACAGGAGGCTGAGGCAGAAGAATTACTTGAACCCCCAGGACCGAGGTTGCAGTGAGCTGAGATCGAACCACTGCACTGCAGCCTGGGTGACAAAAGCAAAACCATGTTATAAGCAAAAAATTAAAAAGTAATGTATTTATCTAACCTTTGTAAAAGCAAAAGATTGGGAATAAACTCAAAAGTCATTTTGTAGAGAATTAAGAGAATCCAGCTGTAAAGAAGGGAAAATAATCTACAGTATAATTGCTTGTATTTGCATTTTTTAAAAACTCTGGAATAGACATTCAAGAAAATACTGCTTTTAATTTTTAGGAAGTAGGAAATCCATGAATATGAAATGAGATAGGAGGAGACTTTCATTTTAGATTTTTTTTGATACAGATTTTCCTTTTGCCCAGGGTAGAGTGCACTGGTGGGATCATAGCTCACCGTAACCCCAAGTTCCTGGGCTCAAGCCAACCACCTGCCTCAGCCTCTTGAGTAGTTAGGACTACAAGCATGTGCCACTATGTTCAGATTATTTTTTGAGATGGAGTCTCACCCTTGTCACCTAGGCTAGAGTGTAATGGCATGATCTCGGCTCACTGCAACCTCCGCCTCCAAGATTCACTCCACTCCAGCCTGGGCAACAAGTGGGAAACTCAGTCACACACACACACCTGCTACTCTGACAATGGTCCTGACATTATATATATATATATATACACACACACACACACACACACATATATATGCATATATATATATATATATATGAATATTTTAGACGGGGTTTGACCATGTTGGTCAGGCTGGTCTTGAACTCCCGACCTCAGGTGATCCGCCCACCTTGGCCTCCCAAGTGCTTGGATTACAGGCGTGAGCCACCACGCCCAGCCGACTTCCCATATTTTTGTTGGAGACATTTGCTTTCCAGCTTATATACAAAATATCAATCTATTACAGGTTTGTTTCCAAGTGAGTCCAGGTCAGTTGAGACAATCATTACACCTCCGATAGATTTTTAGTTCAGTTTTGCATCTCAGGACACTGGCTCCTCTACCCGTTTTGACCCTAACACCTAAAGTGTGCCTTTGGACCCTGTTTTTGTCTTTGGAGGATTTCAATTAAGGGTTAAGCTCAGGGCCACACCTCAGCTGTGTTTCAGAGATTTTTTTTTTTTTTTTTTTTTTTTTTTTAGACGGAGTTTCGCTCTTGTTACCCAGGCTGGAGTGCAATGGCGCGATCTCGGCTCACCGCAACCTCCGCCTCCTGGGTTCAGGCAATTCTCCTGCCTCAGCCTCCTGAGTAGCTGGGATTACAGGCACGCGCCACTATGCCCAGCTAATTTTTAGTATTTTTAGTAGAGACGGGGTTTCACCATGTTGACCAGGATGGTCTCGATCTCTTGACCTCGTGATCCACCCGCCTCGGCCTCCCAAAGTGCTGGGATTACAGGCGTGAGCCACCGCGCCCGGCTGTTTCAGAGATATTTAAGGTAGTACCTGCAATCCATCAACCACACTGATCTGCTTACTTACCGATTTAAAACTTTATTGTTCATTTTTAAAATGGGGAAGAAAAACTTTTATTGGCAACCATCAAAGATATTCACAAGACTCAGACCCAAGGTAGAGACCCCTAAACAGATGATTTTCCCTCAACTCCTCAGGCTGGAACAGATTTTAAACCAAGCTGGAGACATCACTCCAACGCTGTCCACAAACTAATCTCTACATCCTGGTCTTCATCCTGATTGGAAGCTGGTTCACTTCATCCAAGAGCTTAGTTCGAGGGCATTCATGGCTTCCTCAAGTTTGAGCATCCCTGCACCAGAAATAGCAACAGCTGCGTGAGTATGAGGGAAGACAATAAGAACCCGGACGGCTCTCCGCCTCTTTCAGGGTTTGTTTCTGGGACTTCTGAACCAGGCGTTCTGAGAGTCAGGCCCAGAATCTCGGAACCCCAGACTACTCGGCCCATTTGAAGGTTCTCCAAGAAACTGAAGGGGCGGGGAGACGGTTCAAATAGCTCAGATAACCCTGCCCAGGGGGTCTAGCACAGGCCACCTCTCATCATAGTCTCACTCCTACGTCTCCAAGACCAACGGCTGGCATTCTGGGGCCCCCATTCCCAAAGGGGTCTCAGGAAGGCCCAGACGCCAAAGACGCCCCTGGTGAGGCCCAAGTTGCGGGCAGCGAACAAGAGAGAGGAGAAAGGCCACAGAGCTGCAGGACAGGCCAGAAGCGGTCCCCACGAGCCTGTGTTCGCATACCCGGTCCCCAGGCCTCTCACCTCGCTCCTGGCGCTGGCGGTGCCACTCAGCCATAGACTGGAGCATCCATTTGGCTCGGAGCTTGTATATATAGGAGCCGTAGACCACGACCTCGGTGAAGTCTGGAGACTCCAGAGCCTTCAGCTCGAGCATGGCCTTGCTCACCTGCTCGATGTAAGGGATTCGACATCCGTCCCGGCCTGTTGGGGGAAAAGAATGAGAGCCCCGGGCCGGCTGAGACGCCCGGGCCGGGGCATCGCCGCCAGTACTGGGCACACTCACCGAACATGGCTTCCAGCAGCCGCGTCTGGACCTGGAACACTTCTGGATCTTTCAGGTCTTCAGGAACTTTCACCCACGGCGGGATAGTTCTACGTTCCGCGAGCGTTCCCATCTTACGACCCTCACAAGCAAAACCACGCTCCAGCGCAAGCCAGGCCTGGCCCTGCCTCAGCAATGGTAAAGCCTCACACCTGGAGGCCCCGCCCCCAGCCCGGCCCCGCCCCTAGCCCGGGCCTGGACCCCGAGTCCGCGCCCCGCCGCCCTGGCTGCGGTCCAGCAGGTTGCAGTCTCTTCTGCTTCCCGCGACCTCGGGATAGCCTCACCCGGGCCCAGCTGCCTGCAAGTTAACTAGGGTTTCCACCTGCGTTGACCTGTGTCTTTTGCACCAGAATCCCGTGGGCTTGGGAATGGCTAGGGGAAGGGCGCTGTTGACTCTTCTAGGAACAACCCGTGGGGCCCGAACCTCGGAAAAAGGGCGTCCAGGCTTCAGGGTGCGAGGACCACGCAGTAGCTGCCTAATCGACTTCCTGCCTCCCATGTTCCAAAGGAGGGTTCGTATCCCCTCGGACCTAAGGAGCAGGACCCGCGGCTCTGCTTTGCTGGCGACCTGGCAATGTCCCGGGAACTCTGGCGGGACTTGTGCCATTGAACAATGAAGAAACCGAGATTCGGAAATTTCGTTATCTTACCTGAAGGGATTAGCAATCCTCAAAGCTCCTGACTCTAGAGCCTTTGAACCTACCCTGATTTTAAAGCTGACCTGTGCCCTGCCTGGGCACTCCAGCCAAAACCTGTCCAGGCTGCTGGCTCATTTCTAAATAAATTTTGTTTATTCGTTTTTTAAACACAATGTTTGGAGCGATGCACTGGATTTACTCGATGAGAGCGTGATTTCACTGTTTTATGCCTTTATGGTGATGAACTGGCATTTCCAGTCCTGGTAACATCTAATATCCCATCAGCTGTTCACTATTGACGGCTTCTTAGGGTAGACCTCTTCTCACACACACACTCCCCCACACACAAAACTATGGGCGGGGGCAACAACCAATGTAGTTAATTTAGAAAACGGGGCCGGGCGCGGTGGCTCACGCTTGTAATCCCAGCACTTTGGGAGGCCGAGAAGGGTGGATCACTAGGTCAAGAGATCGAGACCATCCTGGTCAACATGAGGAAACCCCGACTCTACTAAAAATACAAAAAATCAGCTGGGCATGGTGGCACGTGCCTGTAATCCCAGCTACTCAGGAGGCTGAGGCAGGAGAATTGCCTGAACCCAGGAGGCGGAGGTTGCGGTGAGCCGAGATCGCGCCATTGCACTCCAGCCTGGGTAACAAGAGCGAAACTCCGTCTCAAAAAAAAAAAAAAAAAAAAAAAAAAATTTAGAAAACGATCATCAATAGCTAAAATTTCAGATGAAGACTGTTGAGAAACTGTTAGTCACAAGGTTTTGAAGTCCTAGCACACAGACTATGAATTAAAAAGGAGAAAAAAACGTTTCTTTACAATAGAGACTTGGAAGAAGCCACCTTAACCCAAATTCGCATAACCAATAATTGGACAAATGGACTTCTGGTTTGACAATATCTTGAAAACAAAAAGAGGACCGTTTTATTAATTGACTAAAGAGACACTAAATACTATGTACACGGTTCAAATAATTTTGAATCAAAGGTGGAGGGATGCATTTCAGGACAATGAAGGAAATTTTAATATGTCCTGTATTGCAAAGTAGTATTAAAAGCTTCTAAAGTTTAGAAACTTCTGGAGGGGCCGGGCGCGGTGGCTCAAGCCTGTAATCCCAGCACTTTGGGAGGCCGAGGTGAGTGGATCACGAGGTCGAGAGATCGAGACCATCCTGGTCAACATGGTGAAACCCCGTCTCTACTAAAAATACAAAAAACTAGCTGGGCGTGGTGGCGCGTGCCTGTAATCCCAGCTACTCAGGACGCTGAGGCAGGAGAATTGCCTGAACCCAGGAGGCAGAGGTTGCGGTGAGCCGAGATCGCGCCATTGCACTCCAGCCTGGGTAACAAGAGCGAAACTCCGTCTCAGAAAAAAAAAAGAAAGAAAAGAAACTTCTGGAGATAAGGTAATCTCAGGAGAAACACGTATGTATGTTTCTATTTTTTTAAATAAAAGTTATATCTGGCCGGGTGCGGTGGCTCAAGCCTGTAATCCCAGCATTTTGGGAGGCCAAGGTGGGTGGATCACGAGGTCAAGAGATCAAGACCATCCTGGTCAACATGGTGAAACACCGTCTCTACTAAAAAATACAAAAAAGTAGCTGGGCATGGTGGCACATGCCTGTAATCCGAGCTACTCAGGAGGCTGAGGCAGGAGAATTGCCTGAACCCAGGAGGCGGAGGTTGCAGTGAACCGAGATCGCGCCATTGCACTCCAGCCTGGGTAACAAGAGCGAAACTCCGTCTCAAAAAAAAAAAAAAAGAAAAAAAAGAAAGAAAGGAAGAACACTTAAAAACATATGTATTGGTTTTGTCCAAAATTAATGTCAATGTTTACCATATTATAATATTATAATGTTAGCAACAAGGCTGGTATGTAGGTTGATTCAATCTTAATGGGATGCCATTTTGCAGTACCTTATCAATTGGAAATGTACTTTTCTTTTCTTTTTTTTGTGTTTTGAGAAGGAGTTTCGCTCTTGTTAACCAGGCTGGAGTGCAATGGCACAATCTCGGCTCACCGCAACCTCCACCTCCCGGGTTCAGGCAATTCTCCTGCCTCAGCCTTCTGAGTAGCTGGGATTACAGGCACGCGCCACCATGCCCAGCTAATTTTTTGTATTTTTAGTTGAGACGGGGTTTCACCATGTTGACCAGGATGGTCTCGATCTCTTGACCTCATGATCCACCCGCCTCGGCCTCCCAAAGTGCTGGGATTACAGGCTTGAGCCACCGCGCCCGGCTGGAAATGTAAAGATCCTTTGACTCAGCATTCCTAAATTTGAAATTTCATCCTGGCCAGGTGTAGTGGCTCATGCCTGTAATCAATCCCAGCACTTTGTGAGGCCAAGGGGGATGGATCACCTGAGGTCAGGAGTTGGAGACCAGCCTGACCAATATGGTGAAAACCTGTCTCTAAAAAAAAGAAAAAGAAATTTCATTCTGTAATTATACTCTCACTTGTAAGAAATGACATGTAGAAGGATACTGATTTCAATAGCATTACTGGCACAAGTAAAAGATAGCATACAAGGTAAATATTCATGAAGACTGGGAAAAATACATATTAAAGAAATAAGACTGGGCTCTGTGGCTCATGCCTATAATCCCAACACTTTGGGAGGCTAAGGTGGGAGAATCGCTTGAGAATGGAGACCAGCCTGGACAATATAGTGAGACTCCCATCTCTAAGTTTTTAAAGGAGATTTAAATTATTCTTTGAAATAAATCAGTAAATAAAAAAGAGAGGGAACCAATCATTTATGGGTTTTTTTGTTTTTTGTTTGTTTTGTTTTTAGATGGAGTCTCACATCTGTAACCCAGGCTGGAGTAATGGTGTGATCTCGGATCACTGCAACCCCTGCCTCAGGTGTATGCCACCAGACCCAGCTCTGTGTGTGTGTGTGTGTGTGTGTGTGTATTTTTAGTAAACACAGGGTTTCACTATGTTGTCCAGACTGGTCTCAAATTCCGGACCTTGTGATCTGCCCATCTCAGCCTCCCAAAGTGCTGGCATTACAGGCAAGAGCCACCGTGCCTGGCCCATGGGGTTTTTTAACTGAAAAAAAAGAAAAAAAAAAAAACAAAAAACTATAGAGCCAAATGTCCAATTAACTGTGTGGATAGAATGAAAAAATGTTCAGACATTCAAGACCTCAATATATGCATTCTCCTTCAGAGTAGAGACTTTGTTTCATCAGAATGAACTGAAGTCTTTCTCTGATAAGAAATAAAATAATGAGCTGGGTGCAGTGGCTCAGGGCTCTAATTCTAGCACTTTGGGAAGCCGGGGCGGGTGGATCACCTGAGGTCAGGAATTCAAGATCAGCCTGACCAACATGGTGAAACCTCGTCTTAAGAAAATTAAAATTAAAAAAGAAAAAAGAAAGAAAGAAAACAAGACCAGCCTGGCCAACATGGCAACACCCCATCTCTACTAAAAATACAAAAATTAGCCAGGCATAGTGGCAGGCGCCTATAATCCCAGCTACTTGGGAGGCTGAGGCAAGAGAATCGCTTCAACCCATGGAGCAGAGGTTGCAGTGAGCCTAGATCATGCTCTCTCTCTCTCCACTGCCCGGGAAGGAGCATGTACCAAGAGCAACAATTATGGCATGCTCTGAGAAGAGCACCACCACCAGCTGCTCATGTCTTCTCCCCCAGCATCCTTGGTTGCATCTTCTGTACACTATAGATGTTGTTAGATTGCCTTCGAACACACTAGACCTCTGTCCTGCTGGTGCTGAGCTCCCTGATGTCTTTTACTGGCTGTCTACAGAGCCTAGAACCCCATTCTTCCTGCTCTATGATTTCTGCTTCGTTTGCATCACCATCTATGCCATCTATGTGGGCCTGATGTGGCTCAGTTTCCAGAAGGTCCAAGAATCCCAAGGCAAGGCTAAACGGCATTGAGCCCTCACCCCCAAGCCAGGCTGACCTCTGCTTTGCTTTGGCATGTAAGCCTTGCCCAAGGGGGCTTGTCTGAGTCCCTAGAAGGCCCTACAACTATGGTCTTCTAGAGTCTCTCGTTCCCACCACCATATCCACACACAACAATGGACCAAATGTGCTACACATTCGCTCTTTTTTCCTTGTTCCTCTGGCTCTGTCTCCAAGGACTGGTCTCTGAAGCTCTTGTCACTGCCCAGAGAGGGAAGGTCCTGAGCAATAATTTTTTTTTTCCTTTTTTGAGAGGAGTCTCAGTCTGTCACCCAGCTGGAGTGCAGTGGCACGATCTTGGCTCACTGCAAACTCCGCCTCCCGGGTTCAAGCAATTCTGCCTAAGCCTCCTGAGTAGCTGGGGTTACAGGTGCCCGCCACTACACCTGGCTAATATTTTGTATTTTTAGTAGAGACAGGGTTTCACCATGTTGGCCAGGCCGGCCTCAAACTCCGGACCTCAGGTGATCCACCCACCTCAGCCTCCCAAATTGCTGGGATTACTAGGGTGAGCCCAGCAATAAAATT